CTTAGTTAGATCCTCTGGAAGAGGGAGGCAAGGCCTCTTGCTGGCAGGGCTTTCATTTGGTCAGTGTCCTGCTTGGGAAGTGACCTTAGAAAAAATGTTTTGCAGTGGCCTTTGTCTGCTGAGCAGTGCCAGCACAGGGGAGCCGTAGGTAAAGGTAGTCCTTGTTTCCCCAAGATGCAGGCGGCCAGGGGCTTCTTCAGTGCCCAACATCTGCGAGCCACCTTCCTCCAGGCTCCAGCCCAGCCCTGGCTGCTTACCTCTGGGAGCAAAGCTCCCCTGCCGCCTACCTCGGACCACTCGGAAAGCTCCCACTGGGGCCCACAGGCCTTGTTCTTGCAGGCTTTCCTCTCCATGGGCCTGGCCAGCCCAGCTGACTCACAGAGGTCATCATAAACGGAGCTGTCAAAGCCTGGAGCCAGCATCTTCCAGCAACGCACGGTGCGGTACTGATAGCCCTCACCACAGGTTCTGGAGCATTCGCTCCACCGGCTGGTCTCCCACCTTCACAAGTGGTCCCCATGAGAGAAAACACAAAGGAAAACCCAAGTAAGGGGGACAAGGCACAGGGGGTGGCTGGGGAGTGTCTGCACACCTGGGACCCGCTCACCCTGTAGCTGCTGCTATGAATCGGCTCATCACGTATATGTCTGTGTTAAGGTGATGCTGGTCTTTGACAGCCAATTTTACCCATAGCAGGTAATTTAGACAGCAAATTCCTTCCCGCTTTTTGCTTACAAGGGGATACAAGGGCTCAGCTGTTTAAGCATATCTTCCAGCCCAGAAATGGCTGTATACTTTGGGCAGAAAATGATCCTTACAAAGATATGTTGTCCCTGGGGACAGATGATGTCATTTCCACTCACCTAGGCTGGCAATCTCTCCCTGTGCAAAATTCATGAGTAGGTTCTGGTCGGGTTAGGGCATCACAGTACGTTTCATCCACTTCCACTCCGTCGTACCGGACACACATTGCATAGGAGGTGCTGATACCTGCTGGGCAATCAAGACCCTCTCTTGGTCGGGCTCCATCAGATCCAGAAGCCTCCTCCCACCATGGTTAAATTACTGGAGTGCTCAGTGCATCTGAAACTCTACCATCAGTATTCTCTCCATCAACAGCCAAAAAGGGCCTCACATCATCAGTGACGTGAAGCCAAACCTACCTGAAGTGCACGTGGAGCTGCAGGGGGCATAAGCTGAGACTTTCCATCGATACATGTCAGCCAAGCTAATGTCGTCATGGCCCATGGGCCTCACGTCAAACTCATTGCTGTGGAAAAAGGAGGCGGCGTGAGCCAAAACCGAAAAATTGCTGCAAACATAAAATAGTGAATTCCCTCCTCACTGGCTTTGAAGATGGGAAGAAACCCCATGTTTCTGCTCTCTGGCTCCCCCACCTTGGGTAAGATGGACCACTGATGAACAGAGTGTAAAGCCTTGATCCACCTCCTGAATTCAACTAGCGAGGCTGTGAAAAGCCAGGGATTAACATCCTCTGAGAGGATGCATCGTTCAGAGTGAGACTTGTCTACATTACGGACTTTCAAACATGTGGGTGCCCTCAGCCTCAGTTCATGCTATCACCTCAATAGGTACGATGATAGGTTGGAAAGAGGAGCTTAAGCAAGGTCCCTCTTAGCGTATAATGTGGTGGGAGAGTTCACACGTGGCTTGCCAGAAATGTTCAAAAGTTGGCCCTCATTTTCCTGCCAAATATTTGACATTAGAGGCATGTGTGCCCAGACAAATGGCATAGAAGGGGCACGATGTGCTGGTGAATGTGTGTATGTGATGTGCTATAGACTCCTGGCCTCCTTTACAATCACATTAGTGCTGGCCCCCCAGGTTCTTCAGAACCCATTTAAATGGATCCCTTAGAGGCAGAGGAGCCAAAATACATTCTGGGAGCTCTGTGTCAAGCCAGTTGTGCCAATCCGTTCTTGGAGGATATACCCTTGGTCAAGCATCTACAGCAGCTGCATGGATAGACACTGGAGAACGGGGACATCAAGGATAGCAGTGAGACTAACAGAGGATTAGCTTGACCCTCCCTCCCCAGCTAACCATGTTCCTGTTTCACCCAGGAAATCAAGTGCCACCTTTCAGTGCCAGGGGCTTGCAGAGGCTCTGCCTGGCTGATGTCCACGGTTGGGCTGGCACCTAGCAGAGGGTTCTCCACAGGTGCCATCATGCTGTAGTTGGCTGCTTCCCCCTGACTCCCAGCAAATGCCTCCACTTTCAAGTCCTCCAGTGAGTTCTTAGGGGCCGGCGCTTTGTGGAGGCCCTGTGGCCACTGGGCACCCATCTCGGTCCATAGTCCTGCTGTGGAGTTCCTCGGGGCCAGCCTGGCTGCCAGGTGCTGCAGCTCCCTACAGAAGGCAGTGTTGTGTGGGTCTCGGTGACACAGTCGCCTGAAGAGACGAAGCCTGGAAGATGCTATGTGGCTGTTCTCCGAGAGCTCAGATCCCCTCATGCTGTAGGGTACAGCTGTGCTGATGGAAATTTGATTGAACCTGAGAGCTGGAAGAAAAATATGGGGATGCTTTAACTATAGATGGCTTATACTTCAGCATGTGGTATTCGACAAGGCAAAAACCATTCAGTATTTGGCCTCAAAATCATAAATTGCCACCAGGGTGCACCAACAGGCCTTAATTGCCCTGACCAACCTCACACACACTCTCTGCTCATTGCTCAGGAGCTCCATTTAAGCTCAGTCCTGGGCCTTGAGTCCTGGCCTGAACAACGTTGCAGGTGTACTTTGTTCCTGAATTGTCGTTTGGCTTTCCCAGATTGACCTCAGATTTGACTTGTCACCTTGCGTTCACCTGATGATCATCAGACTGTTGCTAGGACCTCTTGCTGTCACTGCCCTGCTTGTCAAACTCAGGTGCCACAGGACTGCCCTGCCTGAGAGGGCACTGTTGGATCTGTATGGTGGCCACCCTCTCCCAGCTCCCCTTCCCTTACAGAGCTACTGCTCTCTGACAGTCTCCACCCCACTGTTAATTATCTTTCCTTCCTGTCTGCCCTGATGGTAAAGCCACCTTAGATTTCAAGAAGACCAGTGTGGGTTCTCCGTTTTCAATGAATAAAATGGGAGAGAAGGAAAAACCAAGCAACCAACCCAACTCTCTTTCTCCACCAACTGCTGCTGCTTCTTCCTCCTCTTCCTCTCCTGCTATGTTTGCATGGTAGACCTGTCTTATCTGGAAGTCATACTTCTCCTTCTCTTCACCTTGTTCCCAGCCCCAGTCCTGAGTCTGACTGGTGGAGTTGGTCTGGAAGAAGTGCGGGTGACCGAAGCCTAAATCTTCATGTCCTCCTCTTGGAGGAAGCTGTTCACTGGTGTCATCTGGTGAGAGGGAGAGCCATGTGGCATTGAAGTCCTGGGCAGCTCTGGAGTTGGCTGGAATGGGATGGTGCTGGCTGGTCTCTGGTAGGTGATGATAGAGAAGTCTGTCTACAGCAGGGGCTGCAGTTCGCAGAGGTGGTGTCTGTGGTACAGTGTAGTCATAAGTTATGTGTGGCATTTTCCCATTAAAGTTATAGTACTGGAGGAAACAGAAAACAAAACCATTTTTATTTTAAGGACATGCATTTCCCAGAGACCTCTTCTAGCCACATCTATGTTGTGATGGATGTTAAGAGAAGATAGCATCCTCGTAAATCCAAGAGGAAACACCTTCCCCCCTGCTGGCAATATCTGGCTTCCTCAGCCACCCACACACTCAGGTTTGGCTTGGGAACCGGGTTAATAGGCCCTTTGTCTGAGGGAGGCTCACAATTTTGGGACAGGCAAGACAGGAAAGCCTAAAACTAGCTTGTCACATACCATGGCATTCAGGGACTGGTTAGTGGGCCCCTGAGCTATGATATACTCCAGTCCATCCGAGTTCAGGCTCAAGGGCCGCCGGTACTTGAAGATCGTGCCAGCTACCCTGAAGTTCTGTGGGTTGTCAATGGCGGAGTTGCCGTTGAAGAAGAAATGCCCAGATTCATCTGCGAGTGCTTCAAAGAGAGAGAAAACAGACAAATGTGATACACTGCAGATCACCGGGGCTGCGCTGCCACCAAAGAGAGCAAAAGACCCATGACCGAGAAAAGCCTGATCGAAAAAGAACCATGGGCCCTCCGGTGTTCATCTTCCGTGTCAGGTCAGATCAGCAGTGTTCAATGCCTGCTACTTTCGTTTCCCTCTCCAACAAGAGCACTAATGTCTTTCCCAACCTGGACTGCCTACAGTGAGCTTGGTTTCCCAATGTCTCTCCTGCTGCTGGAGATGTGGTCGCCTTGGTTTATGAAGTGCCCCTGTGCTACCCTGGAGGAAATGCTCACAGATAGCTCTCTCACAGCACAGATGGGAGTGCACAGAGCCCTCCTCCCACCTCCCAGGCAGCTGAACTGGGATCTCCACATCCATCTGGTTCCTCTGCTTACCTAGGATGTTTTCTGTTTTCCTGCGCTCAATGATGAGGATGTCTGTGGCACCGGCAGGGATGTTGGTGATGAACACATACCCTGAGGAACAGAACAGAGGGTGAGGAAACTCTGAGGACAGAATAAAAAGCTCTGGGTAGGAAAAGCAGCTTGTGGGACAACTGTGTACGTACGAGGGCAGTGCTGCCCTTCAGGGGCAGGACGCTAAGGACATAAATGCATGTTGTGCCAGTCTCTGAGCTCTGATCCCTTCTGAAGTCCCCATACAGATCACCATTACAGGTCTCTAAGGCTCAGTCTGAGCACTGTTGGGTTTGGAGTCAGGAAGGAACTGCACAAGTATAACAGTCTGGCTTTAGGTGTGTGGATGTATGTGCTCTCATGCTCTTTCTGGCAAGAGCACAGAAAAAGGTTACTAGTGATCAGGGCTGATGCTGAACAGAGGATGGAAAAGACCACAGGTCCTCTCAGCTCCTGCCTCAACAGAATTTGTCTCAGGAGTAGCATAAAAATTGACCTTTAAAGGGAGAGGAAATAAGGCGGCTCTTAAAAGTTGTGTAGTTTGGCAGCTTGTCTTTCCTGCTAGAAATGCAGGTCTGTTCTGCAAGATTTTTATGAGGACTGGAACGGGAGGCTAAAACTGTACCTGTACTGCTAGAGCGGTTAGCAGCATTACCCCTGCTCTGGAAAAGGGCCTGAGTGCTTTTCTAGTCTGGTGTCTGCAGAGAGTGAGGCAGACTAGTGAAACAACAACAGTGTGAAATCATGTTCCAAAACATCCTCAAACCACAGTTAATTAATTACTAATGAGCATACCACAGTCTATTCCTTCTGCGGGCGGAGGAATGGGCCATGAGGTTGCAAAGGATGAATCTCAGCCCCGTTTCAGAGGGACTGGCCCTCAGCTGTGCCAGCCACGGGACTGGGGAAAGCAGGAGACTAAGTGAAATAAATGCTGTGACCCTCATCATAGGAGCTTAAGTTTCAAATGAACACGCAGCACAAATAAAAGAAGATTCATTGATCTCTTGACATTATCTGAGGTGGGCAAGATGTCAAAATCAATAGGAACAAATAGATCCCCAGCTGCTTCCTATTGTAAAGAGGTGAAGGGAAACCTTACCAGCCTAATATAGAGCACATCAAACCAACCTCCTCTGATGATTAAGTGAAAAGGACAAAATACAGGCATTTAAGCAGGGATGGCACTCTTCAGCTCTTTCCACCAAGCAGCTGGGAAACTCCTACCCGCATTCAAGCCAGTCACCCTTCATGCCAGCTGGTGGTAAGAAGTAGCAGGTGAAGTCTCCGGACTGTGGTAGCAGGGAGTACCTATCTGTGAGATTGCCTTTCGGAAGCTGCCCGAGACACGGTGGCAAGTGCTGCCGTCCCCTCCACACACCCTGCATCTGTCCATTGTCCGGGGTGAGTACAGGCTCCCATCGCACCCAACTGGCTGCAAAGAATAAAACAAGAGAGGGTTTCTTGGACCTGGCTTATCGCCACAGGTCAGGGTCTTTTCAAGGAAGTGCTCTTTTGGTGAGGTTCAGGGGGGCATGTGGGTTAGCTTGGAGTGGAGTAATGAATGAATCCAACAGCAACAGCAACTCACCTGTGTAACTCGTGACCATTTACACTGTGCCCCTGAACCTGGGGCAGGGGCTTGTGCATGTTGGTGAATGGAGTAAGACTCAGGTAAGCTATTTTTGGTTCCTTCTGTCTCTGTATTTAGGCTAATCCTTCTCACTGCAATAATGACGGACATCACTCTCCAGGAGATGCTGCATAAAAGGCAGCCCTTTCTGAGGTTGTGGGGCACCTCTCTGTAACATTATATACAACCACCCTTCCCACCCTTCATCCTTGCCGTATGAGGTGAAAAACCAATTGGAAGATATTTGTTTTTTTAACTGGATGACTACATAAATGAACCTGCAATTCTAGTTGTCTCTGTGCTGGAAGGAGAGTGCTGTCACTCAGTGGGAACATGTGGATGTATATAATTCCCTTTATGTGAACCTCTCTGCTCTCTTCTAGCCCACAGACATTCAAGAGTGAATGTAATTACTCCACTCCAGGCCTCGGCTTCAGTTCCTTGCTGGGACCCCTGGCCTTGCAATGACCAGGAGGTTCAGTCATGCACTCAACACTCCCAAATTCTGTACTACTTCCTCCCAGAGCCTTACCTCACACTTCCCATTGATGCAGACCCCTTGATAGGTCCTGTCCTTGCAGGAGGTACCATCCTGTGCTCGAGCCATCAGCTGCCTCTCTCCACTCTGGGTGGTGCACTGGAGGTCGCATGGCTTGTTGGAGATACTGGTGTAGTCATCTGAAGGGGTAGAGGCAGAAAGTCACCAGGCAGATCAAGGTGCTCAGAGATGGGCAGCGAGGAAGAGGACTTTCCCCTTATCCATACTGATGTTTTGATGTCACCCTGGATGTTCTTGCTGCTTGAGATGAGACCCCAAGGCTACAGATTTTGTAGTAGTACAGGGGTCATGGTGTGAGGCTGCAGCTGGGGACCATGCCTAGCAGAAATACTTCTTGCTGGCAAACCCTCTTCCTTGCCATACCCTCTCCCCTCTGCAGTGCCATCCCCTATGCCAGACATGGGAGTTTGCATCAGCAGATCCCAGGCCACACAAAAATACGCAAGAGTAAGCAAGACCTGTAGGAGGGGTACCAACTGCGTGGGGCTGTGGTCAGCTACACCCCATTCAGCTGAGCAACTGAAGCTAGAGGTGCAGATGTCCTATGTCCCCTTGGCAGCTAATGGAAAGAGAAAAACAAGTGGGTCCAGAAAGAGGGTAGTATCTTAGGTGAGCTCAATCTTGGCCTCAAGGGACACTGGCAACCCATGTGAAGCAACCTGTCTCGCCTGTGCAGGAAACGGATGGGCATCCTGTTCAGAACAATCCACCACCAACCCAGTGGGAAGCATGCTGGGTGACAGAGGCAGCCAAAATGGTAGAAGGCACGAAGAGCGTGATCACCCACTCTGCCAAGATGACTGCTGGTTAGCCAAGACAACTCAGAGAAGCCTGTGTCCTGTCTGCCCACCAGTGCTTGCTGATGTAGGATCCAAAACAGGAGCAATGTGGTGAGAGAGGAGGCCTGGCTGGGTGGAGCAGTTCTGTGAAGAGACAGGGAACGATTTCTCCAAAGCAGGGAGCATTGGGAAGCACTTCCAGACCAGCCAGGAGCATCCATCCCTTCTCCCCTGGGACATTCCCCTTCTCCTGTGTCTGAGAAGATGCTGTGGGTGTTTTCTCACCCTGATCCTTTCTGTGAAGCTGTGAAAACCCACCTGGATAGAGGGGCATCCAGTGGTAGTAGCGCTTCCCAAAGGCTTTGGCATTGAAACTGGAGCACTGCTGCTGTTTGAAGCTTGCTGTGTTGGCTGGGCAGGGCTATGGAGGGAATAAATGTGATCAAAAGCTTCCTATGTCACAGCCGTGGTTGTGACAGCTGCTTGTCCCTGCTGCATCCTTGGAGGATGAGAATGCTCTGTCCACCCTGGAAGGAATCAGTGACGGACTCTGAGGGGCCGTAATACAGGCAGAAAGGCCAGGCCTCTGTTGCCAAGGGCCCTAAGACAGCTGAATTTAACAGTCCTGCAAAAATTACTTCCAGCGAAGGGAAAAGCATACTGGGAAAACTTCATCCCTCCCCCCCCCGACTCCACAACAAATATGTTTTTATACCCTTTTCCTCCTCCTTCTGAGTCCCAGAGAGTAGAGCCCATCTCCCACATCTTCATAGGCATACTGTCAACCCCTCATCTGCACTCCGCTGATGCACCAGTTGCACCCTGAGTGCTGGTGCTCTTGCAGCTCCAAGTGTGACCCCCTGAGTCCCACATCCCCCAGTGAGAACTAGTCAGTACTGGAAGTGGTTCTCACCTGCTGCTGGCACAGTTGGTAGTGCTTGGCTTGTCCAACACACATGGTGCTGTTTGTTCCCTGGGGCATCTGGAGCCTGCAAAGCGGAAAGAAAATGAGCTGGAGGTCTGTGAAGTACTAAGGTACTGAGGATGACAGAGAAGTCAGGCATGATATAAGGGGGAGAAGCAAGGCAAGCATTTTATCAGAGCAAAGCCTTCTGGATCTCGACTAGCCAACATCTCCTCTGAAACACATTTTCAGTGCTTTTAGGTGGACTGTGATTTTAGGCTACTCTCATTTTGGGGCAGGTTGAGCAGATGGGGAGCAGCTGCAGTATCACCGTCCCTGTGTCCCTTCACCTCTGAGCTCCAAATAGGTTGACGTGACAAAAGGCCAATAGACCCTGACGATCCATGAGTCCCATGGAAGGGCCCAGGATTTGCAGTGACCAGGGGAGTTGATTTCAGGATTCACTGCACAGCAGGCAGAGAGATGGCACCTCTCATGGGGACCGGCCACCTTAAAAGAGTAGCAGAAAAGGCTTGGTGCAGGTGATGGACCAAAACCACAGGAATTTCTCAACACTTCATGCTTTAACTCTGGCCAGCAGGAGTTATCCAGGGGATACTGGAGTCCTTGACTGATGCCAAGGCGAAAAAATTCTCGAAAGCTGGAAGATGTATAGAGAATGGCCGAGACCACAGATTAAGGCAATGTGGTCTGTGTAGAGATCAGCAGCAGACGGTGAGTTAACAGTACTGGGAACTTAGGATGCACTGTGTAATGAAAAACCCTGTAGGCATACTCAAGCCGGACTAGCTAGAAGTACTGCAGCTGTCCCTCCAGAGCAATGCTTTACATGATGTAGGCAAAGCCTAAATTTGCACCAAAAGGCTTGAAAACTGCCATCCCTTTCAGCTGAAGCAGAGGCTGCCTGCAGACTCAGGCAGAAACTGTTGCACGGGCATACCTGGCTCACACTTAAGCTGTTCTCCTTAAAGCTGCAGAAACCTTTTGGCTGTGTTTTATGTTGGGATTTTTTTTTTTTTTTAAATATTTCAGACTTGATCCCTGGAGTAAAATGCCACAGCAAAGCCCTCCTCTCCCTAGCTGTGGAGTCAAGGATACAGCAGATACCAAATGGAGAGAAAAAAAATCTCTCTTCTGGCAGCAGGCAAAGGGCAGAGGGGCTGCTCTGGCTGTGCGGGGTGTGGGAGAGCCCCACGCTCCCTCCTGCCCTCTGTTTCCCACTGCTCTCCCATGATGGCCACAGGGTGCTGAGGAGGAGCAGTGGCAGAAACGTTGGCAAGCCTGGTCAGCGAGGAGGCCGCATCCAGACAGAAGGTACTGCAGCACGTTTGGACCCTGACCACGCTGCCAACCAGCCCACATAAAAGAAGTTTTCTGCTGCAGAAAGGAGAGCAGGTTGGGGGCCCAGGCTTGAGCTTCCTCCACTCAGGAGTGCATTCATGCAGAAGGGAAAGGGAACAAGTGTGGGGCGGGCAGCCCCCGTGGGCTTGCTGTGCTGCAGGATGCTGGCTCTCATTAACATCTCCAGAGCCTGCACCAGCAGGTTAGTGAGGTGCTGGAGGAGGAGGAGGGCTTGGTGGCAAGGTGACCCAGAGGGGACAGTGGAAGTTCAGGCAGCTGAAGTTCCTCAGCTCTCCCCACTCCCACAAATCCAGTCCAACTGATATACCAGGACTATAGCAGCTGTAGGGGACAAATGTGGCTGTAGGGGACAAATGGAGATGCTGTCAGGTGACAGCCAGATAAATGACAGAGGGGAAAAAATCTTGCAAGCTCTGCAGGGAATAGAGGGGAAATTGCTGAGACGTGGCTGAGCTGGCTGCTGCCAGGAGTAAATCAAGTCCGCAGAAGGTGCCTGGGAATAAGTACCCACATGCTTAGCACAGGAACTTGCTACAAATCAGGGTTAGGTTGATCAGAGCATCCACGGTAAGCAAGGGTGTGTGAAGGAGAGGTGAAGGGGAACAGAGCTCGCCTTCTCCAGTCCACAACCCTGTCATTTTCAAGTCTCCCACAGACCCCAAGAGGGGACCAACTCCTGGCTCCCCATGAGACGAGCGGGGCTGAGTGGGTGACGTGTTCAGGGGGCCTGTCACCTGCGCCACCGCAGTGTGCTTCTCCCTCACCAGCCCTCCTCACCGCTGCCTGCTCGCCGCCTACCCCGTGGGCAACAGCTGCCTTCCTTTCCGAGAGGCGACAGAAGAGGGAACAGCCAATCCTGCAAACCCAGGAGGTTCAACCCCAGAACACGTTGGGCGCACCCCATTTCCCCTCTGCCACTTGAGACCTGGCCAAGGGCTCAGGCTGGGACACAACTCACCTCTGTTGTAAGCAGTGCCTCTCCCGGGACATCACGCCTCCCCCGCAGGACCGGGAGCAGGTGGACCAGGAGCTCCACTCTCCCCACCACTTGGTGACTTCTTCATCCCAGGGGCCAGCTCCATCTGCTGCCTCACTACTGTCCTGACAGAAACAGAGCATGGTGAGCTGGAGAACCTGGCTCCTCACCACCCCAGGCAGAGAAGGGGCCTTCCAAAGGCAGCTCCCTTAGGGACCATGTTCACTTGGATGCCTTCTAAACGGGCAGCACTGGGACAACTGTGGCAGGATCAGGCCCCTGTAGGGCCACACCAAGCTCATACGTCTCAAAATTCAAATTTCGCTCCAAGACTGAGTTATGCATGGGGAGGAGGATGCCTCTGGGATCTCATGACATGATGTAGAGAAGGGCTGTTGGGCTGGACATGTGTGACAGTAATGCCAGCTGCAGCCTGACCCCACAGCACGGCTCCCAGCCCGGGTCAGATGATAGAAGAGCAGATCACAGCTCACACTGCCTGCCTGCGTCTGATGCACCATCAGGAGAGAAGTGGAAGAGCTGTGGTGCTTGGCCGTGGGGAGACCTGCAGGGAAGCTGGGGGTATGCATCTGTCACTCACTAGAGCTGCATTTCAACAAATAAACTTCTCTTTCTGACTAAATCAACTCAGATCCAAGCTCCTCACCCTCCAGCCTTCACACGTGTCATTTTCAAGAGCGCTTCAGAACCAGAGCCTCCTGCAAGTGCTGTTGTACCCCTCTCCCCATGCACCCCACTATGCTCAGAGGAGGACTGCTTCCACTCCCAGCGTGCCTTGCTGGGGCTGAGCCTTTAAATTTGACAAACCTGAGCTCTTCTGTCCCCAATGCGGTTGTTGCAGCAGGTTGCTGCTGGCTGTGCCTCCACAATTCCCAGCAGGTAAGGGATTCTGTGTTTTAGCTGGGGTTTTTTTGTGTTTTTTTTTCCTTGCAATATTTTCCTGTTTAGTGTTTGATGGCCTAAAAGCTCCCAGGGACTTTGGCAAACTAGCCTGCGCAGGAACTAATTTGCCGTTTACTGAAATACAGCTGTGAGTAGTGTTAAATGCAGGAATGAGTTTAACACAAGACAGTAACTGGAAGGGATTTATCCAGCTGAAGATGCCGATAGTGTTTCACTATTAGTAGAAGAAAATGAACAGTTTATGTGTGTGTGAAGTCTGCTATATTAAAGTAAGGGCTCCGGAAAGTTGTATCAGTGCTACTATTAGCAAAACATGTTGGTTTGTGGCAGTGGCTAATAGTCTTGTTGCAAAGAACCGGTCTGCAAAGTGTGACTGAAAGAGAACTCAGCAGAAAGACAACTTTTGCTCGTCACTAAAGGTGCTCTGTTCACTCTTTTGGTTGACTGTCTCTTGGCTTTATGCTCTTTTGTGGTGTAATAAAGCCAAAGTGTTCCTCCTCTTGTAGTGTAATTTCTGCCTGAGAACTTCTCATTTCTACAGCATTTGCCAACAGAACATCCTCTAGGCAGAGGAGATGGATGCAGCAGGTTTTATGCAAATGTTTTGAAGTTTGTAACTTAGCGTGGGCTGAAATGCACATAGTGCCTCTTTGGTGACAGCCAGAACATGTTGAAAGTTACCTACCCTGCTGCAAAAAAGCACCATCTTACCTGATGCTTTACTCTCTAGTAATTACAACAGTCGATTTGGAAAACAATACAACAGAACTCTTTCCTGAGAGGAACCAAATGCTGTGGCCAGCAGCTGAGTTGGTCTGGAGAAAAACGACATTTAAAAGAAATAGACATGTTCTCAAAAATACCTTTTCCTCTTTTTCCAAATGATCATCTCAACCTATTTCCTATGAGAATTTTTGTCTGACTGTATATTATCAGTCTGTAACTGGAAATGCTGACTATGCAGCTTCCTCATTTACAAAGGAAAAAAACCAAAGGTCTCTTATTGTAAGGTATTTTCAGCTCAAATCTTTCCCTGACCCCTTCTATGCTTCTCTGTGATAAGCATCTCAAGGCCTGTGGTGGAAGAGCTCTTCACAGCTGTCGGAGAGGAGAACGCCAATGATTTATCTGGTGTCTGTACAGAGAGCTCAGCGCAATAGAGATTCTTCCATAGCTGGGGTAATAATCAAAGCTGGTGTCTTACCACTTCACTGAGTAGTTATGTGAGGCACGTGGACTGCCTGGAGGGAAGGCATGTGGACCAAAAGCTGCAATATTTACATAGCTTTTCCCCAGGTGGCAATAAAAATCTGCGTAGCTATAATCCGCAAGATAGCCCTGCTCCAGAGATCTTATAATCCAGACAGGTGAGACGGGGCAGAAGGGAAATGGGTAAAGGGAAGTGAAATAGCCTGTTCTACTGACCTACCCCTGGATATGAAAAAAACTTTGTGTATTTGGACCGGAGGAAAGTTGCAGGCTCCTTTTCAGGGTTACTGCTCTTGGGTGTTTTGCCTGGATGCAAGGAGACTCAGCAAGTGGTGGCAGAGCTGAGGTTCGGGAAAGATCAGCATCTCTGATCTTGTGCGTCTCTTTCTTATGGTTAGAATAGGATACGCTTCTCTCTGCACTGCGACTTTCAGGAATGACAGGAGCCCAGATGAAGATTTATTGAAGGATGCTAGTCAAAGAGACTTTTTCTTTTTTAAAAAAATAAACCGTGTTCCCCTATATCCATAAGCCCTGTTCCTGCTTCCTCTCTGCACTGGAGGCATCAATCACTTTTTAAGTAGAGTGGTTTGGCTCTCAGGTTTTCCATGACCAAGCTCTCTTGCCAGTCGTTGCCTAAGAGCATTTATTTTCTTGTATAAGCAAGGACAATGCGGAGCTGTGCCCTTGGCCAGTGAGACTTACGGTGTGACTGCATCCGAGTCCTAGGCCCGGTGATGTGGAGGGGGAACTTCAGATACTTGGAGCTGGGGCAGCTGGTTCCAATCTGTGCTGAATTTATGATATTGTCAGAAATAAATCTGCATTAACCATGGCACACAAATAGTTCTTGTTTTTAATTAGAGATACTTGCATTTTCCAATTTTCCAGATAATAAATTAAGGACTGTGGGACAGCCTCCAGATTAGATTAGCTCCTGGCTTTTGTTTCCCAAGCCCCTCAGCAAATCCCAAGTTACCTTCCGGCCAAGTGAATCCAGCCCCGGCCTCCTCCTTGCAGAAGGAGAAATCAAAGGGGCTTTACAACAACTCTTTGGCACTCTCCTGGTTATAGGAGATGCTGGAGCTGCTCTAATTTGCTGCAGAATCACAGAAACAGAGCAGGCTGCCAACATCGGAGCAGGAGATGCACATAGGTCCAGTCTTTATAAGGCTGGCTCTGCCTGGGCTTGGGTAAGGGCTCTGCCTAAAGGAGGTAAGAGGGTCAGGTACGATTTCCTAGGTGATGAGGAATACGAGGCCTAGAATTTATATCCGTAGAAAAGATAGACCGTATTCCAGTTCAGCCAGGTGCTCACCGCAAGGATTTCCCTGGAGGCGTTTGTGGCTTGGCACCTGGTGATTATATAGCTGCAGTTCTTCCTCTCTGAGGTCAACCAAGTTACTTTTGTGCCTCTGCACCTACGTTGGAGACCACGCAACTGAATAGGTGAGGGTTACCCCCCTGTCCCTTTGTTGTGGGGACCAGAGCTTTGAACCCCAACCTGCAGGGAACTTTTCGCGGATAAAATATCTGTCTCCAGATTTGCCAGTATCAATGACATCAGTCTCTAAGCCAGCATCACTGAAAGCTTTTTCTCTCTAACCAAAGACCCAGCAGCTGCTTCCCCTCTACCCCCTGCCAAACAAAGGCTGCGACAGACAAAATGCCCTGCAAAGAAGGGTGGGCCTGGACTGACTTCCTATCAGATTTCCAGGCGGTCTTTCTGAAGAGCTAAAAGGGATAAAATAAATTCTCCGCTGACTCTCTGTCATGCTCTGAGCTACGCTGGCTTTCCCAGAAACCTGGGAATAACTGCAATTACCATGTCGGTGGCCTGGTCTCCTGTGTTGCTTATTGTTGTGCCGAATCTTGGGATTCATTAGAGCCTGGGTCCTGGGAAAAAAGCTGTCTGGGAAGAGAGCCCACAGGCATGCCTGTCTAGTTCCCTTAACAGAGGAGCTTGGGGGGGGGAAAGGCTCTCCCTTGCAGCCTGGCATGCCTTAAGGGCTGGCCCACTAGTGAAGGGCACAGTAGCTGTTGTAAACTGCTCTGCTCAACCCTGTCTGAGTTTATAAGACTACTAGAAACAGCAGCTGAAAACAAAATAAATTCTTCACAGACCTCTTCTGAGGCCATTAACTGCATGTCCTCTACCAAAAATTTCCAGGATCGCTTAAGTAAAGGGCTTCTCTCTACAGCAAACCACACATACTAAGTAGCTTCAGATGTCTTAATGCCTGGAATGGATGTCAGATTATTATCTGGAAATGAATGACCATGTTCAGCTCCTCTGGTTTGAATTCCCCATGTCATTCTCTGACTAACGCCGTGGTGACAGACTCTACCACAGCCCTGAAAAAAAAAAAAAAAAAGCATTTTCAATTATGCCCTGATGTTTTACAAAAGAATTGGTGTTTGTGTAAAGCTATTTCTCATCCTGTCATTGTTTTATCCTATTTGGGTAGCCTAGACAGTTTGTATGAGAGATTCAATGTCGGGAGCAGACACAAAACCAAATTTTCCTTAGAAAAGTTGAAACAAAATATTTTAGAAGGAGTTTTCCATGAGGGGAAGGTATCCTGAGGTAAAATGAGCAAAGCAGAATAATTTTTCATGGGATAAGGAAGGACACTACTGTAGGAGAAAATGGTAGCTTGCTAAAGATGTGATATTGCAGCAGATAAGTAACAGAAATCGGGATATATAATAAGGCGCAGATGAGAAGCAAATCAGAGAATCAGTAAAGAGAAGCCAGTGGAGAACTATAAAGTACTGTTCATAATCCTGCCGTGACAGAAACTTCACAGGCAACTGCTGCACGTCATCACAAAACACTTGATCCAAGCCAGTTAGGTCATTCCCTTCAAGTGGGATAACGCACTTGTATCTGGGGCAAGCGGGTAGAAAGGATGGAAATCTGTGAAGGGGAAGAAGGGAGTAACAGGCAGTGTGCCGGAGAGGCATCTCTGTTGTCAGGTTGTTCCAGAGG